CCCCCATGTAAGTGGTTCCCAGGGTCCCCTGCCCCCACTCCCTGCCCCAGGAGCTGTGCAGTGGCCATTACACCCCCAGCCCTGCTCCTGAGAGGGTTAGTGCCCACTCCCCTGAGCCTCAGCCCAGATTCGAGGGCAGCATCTTTTCCCCCCAGGTCAACTGCAGGGGTAGGGGCTCTCCCCTGCCCTATGCCCTCCCAGCTGGAGTGTGACAAATGGGTTTATTAGCTTGTTAGCACAGAAATCAGGGACTTTCAGTGACATCTGTCTTGGGGGGAATCCAGGGCAGCACTGACCCCCCCTCAGGCTGGTCCTTGCAGGGGCTGGGCTGCATAGTGTCTGCTGGTCTCTCACCCCACCACTGGGGAAACTGAGGCACATAGCACGAAGGGATGTGGAATTTTAACTCTTTCCCTCCCCCTCTGCCAGCATCACAGCTTCTACGACTTCATTGTGACTAAAGCAAGAGGGAAAAGTGGTGAGTCTCTCCCCCCGCCCCCCCCCCATGGCCTAGTCGCATTTGGCCCCATTACTCAGGGGGGGAGGGGGGAGGAATCCCGAGTGTCATGTTGAAAGGGATTTGGGGCATGCTGGGGGGAGACAGGAAGGAGACAACTAACCTCCCCCAACTCCCCAGGGCCGCTCTTCAACTTCGACGTTCATGAGGATGTGAGACTCCTGAGTGATGCCACTGTGGAGAAGGATGAGGTGAGGAACAGGCCCAGGTGCAGTGGGGAGAGCCAGCCCCAACCCCAACCCCACTGAGCTCTTTCTCTCCCCCCCCCTGCAGTCCCATGCTGGGAAGGTCGTCCTCCGCAGCTGGTATGAGAAAAACAAGCACATCTTCCCGGCCAGCCGCTGGGAGCCCTACGACCCTGAGAAGAAGTGGGACAAGTACACAGTGAGTTGGGGGGGTGTGTGCTTGGGGCGGGTGGCAAGGCAGCAGTGAGCCGCCACCTCCTCCCATAATTCTCTCTGTCTTTTCCCAGATCCGATGAGGGGTGCTAGCTCTGGATTCCTGCCTGTGGCTCCCCTGGTGGTCATATTCTCTCCTCACCCCCAATAAATCTGTTTTCCATCCCCTCTCCAACTGTTGTAGCTTACTTATTTCCCCCAAGAGGGAGGGATGCTAAACATCCCTCTGCTGTCAATCTGCAGGTGTGTATTGTAGTTGTAGACAGTCTTACACAGGCATTTTTTATTGGTGTACAGAAATACAGCTTGAGCTGGGTGCCTCATCGACTAATTTAAGTGGGGGTGGGGGGGAGTACTGGGTGTTACACAAAATAATACTACGGGTAGGGGTGTTCCTATGGGGAGTGGGTTAACCTTTCATGCCCTTGCTTCTTTATTGGTGTGCAGAACTCTAGGGTACAGATGTGGAGACCTGCATGAAAACCTCCTAAGCTTAGTTTGGTAAAACCCTTGGATCTGAGAAAGTAGAAGTAAATAGAAATAAAGGATACCTTAAAATCATAATCTAACACATACGTAGCTAGATTACTTAGAATCAGACCTTTGAGTGTCTCTGGTGTTGAGGTTGCAGGTGGTAGGTCTCCTTTTATGGGTAGAACACCCCATTTTACTTTTAGGGAAAAAATTATCTCTGTTCTGGCCCCAAGTTGGACTTCCTTTCCAGCCCCAAAGGGAAGAAGAAAAAAAAATTTCCCTTTTAACTTCCCCAAGGTACAAATTAAGTTTGGACGATGGTAGATACGAAAGTCTCTGGTCTCTTAACCCTTTACAGGTGAGAGGATCAGATGCATACTGTGGAAACTGCAGCAGACTTTATATACACACAGAGACCATGAAACAATACCTCCTCCCACCCCACTCTCCTGCTGGTAATATGGTCTCTGTGTATGCAGATAGCTTATCAGGAGGGTGTGGGGTGGGGTGGGAGGAGGTATTGTTTCATGGTCTCTGTGTATATGTCACAGCCTAACCTAGTGGCTGAACTTTGTGACTTTGTCCTTACCCATAACTATTTCACATTTGGGGACAATGTATATTGATGACATCTAAACCTCTAAGGAAGGAGATTCCACCACCTCCCTAGGTAATGCATTCCAGTGTTTCACCGGAGACCATTACTCCTTGTTCTGTCATCTGCTACCATTGAGAAACTCATGTGTTCCAGTCCCCTAATCATTTTTCTTGAAGTGTGGGGCCCAAAACTGGACACAGTACTCCAGATGAGGCAGATCATTTATGAAGATATCTAGCCAGCTTTCTACCCACCTTATAGTGCATTCTTCCAGCCCATACTTCCTTAAAAGTCAAGAAACAATACATCCACATCATCTGGACCCATGGAAATAAACAATGGTCACATAAACACCACCCTATATTCCTACTTTGCTCCAACCCCTCAGACAGAGACAAACACCTACAATACCCACCTGCGGAAGTGAAGAAACAGATTGATAGAGCCAGAAGAGTTCCCAGAAGTCACAAAGAAAATAACAAAAACCCCTCCAACGTGTTATTAAGGATCTACAACCTATCCTGAAGGATGACCCATCACTCTCACACCTGAAGCAAATACTCACTTGCCAACTGTGCCCACATATCTATTATAAACCAGTTGGAGAACACTTCAATCTCTCTGGTCATGCAATCACAGACATGAAGGTCGCTATTAATTTAGGCTTAAATAGAGACTGGGAGTGGCTAAGATATTATGCAAGGTAACCTATTTCCCCTTGTTTTTTCCTACCCCTCCCCCAGATGTTCTGGTTTAACTTGGATTTAAACTTGGAGAGTGGTCAGTTTAGATGAGCTATTACCAGCAGGAGAGTGAGTTTGTGTGTGTAAGAAAACCTGGATTTGTGCTGGAAATGGCCCAACTTGATGATCACTTTAGATAAGCTATTACCAGCAGGAGAGTGGGGTGGGAGGAGGTATTGTTTCATGGTCTCTGTGTGTATATAAAGTCTGCTGCAGTTTCCACAGTATGCATCCGATGAAGTGAGCTGTAGCTCACAAAAGCTCAAATAAATTGGTTCGTCTCTAATACAGACTAACACGGCTGCTGCTCTGAAACCTGTACTTATCCTAAGTTACAAGAACAAACCTATTAAACATTCATATAAAGTAGCATAACCGTCGGAGACCACTTCAACTCTTCGGGGTGCCGGTCACGTCGGCTCCCCCGTTCAGTGGCCCGCAGACACCGGCGGGGGGGGCTGCTGACCGGGGATAAACCTCTGCCCCCCCCGGTTCCTCGTCAATAGCCGGGACCCCCCGCAGGCATCTGATGAGAGACCGGCCCCCGCGGAGCCCCTGTTCCCAGCGCCAGGCTGCCGCCCGGGGGGGGGAGGGGGCCGCCCGGGAGGGGAGGGGGGCGCCCGGGGGGGGCCGAGCCAGGCTGCAGAGCGACGCTCGCAAACCGACCGGGGCGGCGGCGGGAAAGAGGCCCCCGGACGCCTGGGTCCCGTGCCGGGCAGCCCCGCCCCCTCCTCCCCTGCTCCGGAGGCAGCAGCCACCGCCGCTCCCCGCGCGGGGGCCGCCCCCGGCTTTATCCCCCCGGCCGCGCCGCGCCATTGGCCGCCTCCCGGCCCCGCCCACCCAGCGCCGGCCAATGGGCGAGGTCCGCGCGCTTCCCACTGCGCATGCGCCTGCCGGGCCACTCGGTGCCGAGGCCCCCGGAAGGGGGCGGGGCTGAGCTAGGGTCACTCTGTGCCCCGCCCCCTAGAGCCTAGGGGTGGAGCCTGGCCTGGCACCGCCCCCAACCCCGCGGCGGGGGGGGGGGGGGGCCGGTGTGACTTCAGGAGCCCCAGCTCTGGCGCTGACCTGAGAGTCCCGTGAAACACCCGGGGGGGGGGCACTATTCCCTCTTGGGGAAATGGGGGGGGGCACTATTCCCTCTTGGGGAAATGGGGGGGGACTCAGTTCCAGCCCCCCCCAGTGGGGGGAGTGTCTGGGCAGGTGGCAACACTCAGCTGAGCCTGTCCCTCTCCCCCCCAAAGGGCAGTAGGGGGGGGCGGGGAGGCTGTTTTGGTACCAAGGCGTCCAGGTTCCATCCCCACTCTGAACTCTGGGGTACGGATGTGGGACCCACATGGCAGACCCCCCCCCGTTGCTCAGACGGTAACTGCTGGAAATGGCCCCCCTTGATTATCACGACAAAAGGTCCCCCCTCCCCCTGCCGACCCCCGCTCTGCTGCTGGTAACAGCTCACCTTAAGGGATCGCTCTGGTTACAGTAAAAAGAACAGGAGGACTTGGGGCACCTTAGAGACTAACCAATTTATCTGAGCGTGAGCTTTCGTGAGCTACAGCTCACTTCATCGGATGCATCCCATGGAAACTGCAGCAGACTTTATATACACACAGAGAATATGAAACAATACCTCCTCCCACCCCACTGTCCTGCTGGCAATAGCTTATCTAAAGTGATCATCAAGTTGGGCCATTTCCAGCACAAATCCAGGTTTTCTCACCCTCCACCACCCCCCCCACACAAACTCACTCTCCTGCTGGTAATAGCTCATCCAAAGTGACCACTCTCCCTACAATGTGCATGATAATCAGTGTGTCTGGTCCCACCCATTGTTTCATGTTCTCTGTGTATAGAAATCTCCCCCCTGTATTTTGCACCGAATGCATCCGATGAAGTGAGCTGTAGCTCACAAAAGCTCATGCTCAAATAAACTTGTTAGTCTCTAAGGTGCCACAAGTCCTCCTTTTCTTTTTGCGGATACAGACTAACACGGCTGCTACACTGAGACCCCCCCCTAATCTTTTCTGACCAATTTAGGTTAAAACTTCCCCAAGGTACAAACTTTGCCTTTTCCGTGAACCCTATGCTGCCACCACCAAGCGTCTTACACAAAGATCAGTGAAAGAGCCCACTTGGAGACGTCTTTCCCCAAAATATCCCCCCAAGCCCTACACCCACTTTCCTGGGGAAGGCTTGATAAGAATCCTCACCAAGTGGTACAGGTGAACACAGACCCAAACCCTTGGATCTTAAGAACAATGAAAAAATCAATCAGGTTCTTAAAAAGAAGAATTTTAATTAAAGAAAAAGTAAAAGAATCACCTCTGTAAAATCAGGATGGTAAATACCTTACAGGGTAATCAGATTCAAAACACAGAGAATCCCTCTAGGCAAAACCTTGTTACAAAAAGACACAAAAACAGGAATCTACATTCCCTCCAGCACAGCTTATTTTACCAGCCATTAAACAAAAGGAAATTAATGCGTTTCTAGCTAGATTACTTACTAACTTTACAGGAGTTGTAAGGCTGCATTCCTGATCTGTTCCTTGCAAAAGCATCACACAGACAGACCCTTTGTCCCCCCCACCCTCCAGATTTGAAAATATCTTGTCTCCTCATTGGTCATTTTGGTCAGGTGCCAGCAAGGTTACCTTAGCTTCTTAACTCTTTATAGGTGAAAGGGTTTTGCCTCTGGCCAGGAGGGATTTTATAGCACTGTATACAGAAAGGTGGTTACCCTTCCCTTTATAGTTATGACAGGAGTGCTCATTTACGAATTTACATATCATGGCCCCCAAAGTTCCATTAAACTTCTCCACCAGGCCATTTGTTTGATGGTGTTAAGGGGTGGCAACCAAGTGGTTCACCCCATGAGCTTTCCAAAGGCTTTTCATGGTCCCTGCCAGGAAATTAGTTCCCAAATCCATAAGGATGTCAGAGGGCCAGCCTACCCTGGCAAAAATGTCTGCTAGTGCCTGGCACACACTTTTAGCCCTGGTGTTGCTTAGAGCTACTGCTTCCGGCCATTGGGTGGCAAAATCCATGAAAGTCAGTATGTACTGCTTTCCTCTGGGTGTCTTTTTCGGAAAAGGACCCAGAATATCCACAGCTACTCACTGCAATGGAACGTCAATGATGGGGAGTGGCTGGAGAGGGGCGTTGACCTGGTCTTGGGGTTTTCCCACTCTTTGGCACACTTCACAAGACCGGACATAAATAGAAACATCCTTGCCCATTCCCTCCCAGTGGAATGACCTCCCCAACCGGTCTTTGGTCCTGTTCATCCCAGCATGGCCACTAGGATGATCGTGGGCTAAACTCAAGAGCTTGACCAGGTACTTAGTTGGAACTACCAACTGCCTCTGAGGATGCCAGTCTTCCTGATGTCCACCAGAAAGAGTTTCCTTGTATAAAAGTCCTCTTTCTACAACAAATCTGGATCAATTAGAAGAGCTAAGAGGCAGTGGGTTGCTCCGTGCTGCCGTCCAAGCTCTCTGGAGGCTTTCATCTGCTTCCTGTTCGGTCTGGAACTGTTCCCTTGATGCTGGAGACATCAGTTCCTCATTGGATTGTGGACCTAGGCTTGGTCCCTTTGGAAGCGATGTAGGGGATGGGGCTGTTTCCGCTGACTGTGAACCGCTCTCCGCCGGTGCGCTATGTTGGGATTCAGGCTCCGACTGAGCCTCTCGTGTAGGGATATGGGCTGCTGCCGGTTCAGGTTCGGTGGGGCCCTCTGGTGTTGAGGTTGGATTCAGTGCTGGGAATGGGTCTGGTGCTGGTTCTTCCGCCGGTTCCGGCTCTGTCTGGGTCTCTGTGACTGGATCCACTACTGCTGTTGCTGACGTTGGCCCGGGGTCCAGGTCCATTACCTCTGGAGGGTCCTGATAGAAGTTTCCGGAACACAGCTAGGCGTCACAGCTTGCTTAGCCTGGCTGCGGGTGACCATTCCCACCCTCTTGGCTAGCTTTGCATGATTGGCGAAGTCTTCCCCCAACAGCATGGGGATGGGATAATCATCATAGACTGCAAAAGTCCATGTTCCTGACCAGCCCTGGTACTGGACAGGCAACTTGGCTGTAGGCAAGCCAAAAGAGTTTGACTTGAAGGGTTGAATCATCACTTGGGCCTCTGGGTTGATGAATGTGGGGTCCACTAAGGAAGCATGGATAGCTGACACCTGCGCTCCAGTGTCCCTCCACGCAGTGACCTTCTTCCCGCCCACACTCAGTTTCCCTCCGCTCTGAGGGTATCTGGGAGGTATCTGGGCCTGAGGACCTCTGGTGTGATTCCGGTGCAATGAACTGTAATTTGTTGGGGTTCTTGGGGCAGTTGGCCTTTACATGCCCCGGCTCATTACATTTAAAACATCGTCCAGCTGACGGGTCACTGGGGCGAGGGGGGTTGCTGGAGAATGGTGAGGTGGGACGATAAGGTGTCTGGAGTGTTCCTTGGTGTGTAGTTGGGGCCTTAGGCTGCCCCAGTAGTAGGGTGTGGTCTGAGGGTGTCGCTTCTGGTATCCGCTCCAACTGCGACCAGGGTTGTTTCTCTTTCCTCCCTCCACCCGTTTTGTTCCGGTTTGCTCCGCCTCTCTGACAGTCCGGGACTGCTCGTATTGATCACCATAAGAAGCAAGACTTTCTGCTGAGTCCATTTTCTTATCCCATAAACACTGTTTTATATCCTCCTTGGACATATTCAGAAATTGCTTCTGAGTCATCAATCACACATTCCTTCAAAGCTAGTTACACCCCTTCCTTTAACCCATGTATCTAACAGATCCTTCGTCTGGTTTATATAAGCCACATTACTTAGTTCAGGTCCTCTCTTAAGGGCTCTAGATTTTACTCTGTACGTTTCAATTGTAACTTGAAATTGCTTTAAAACCAAATCCTTGAATTTATTATAGTCAGAAGCCTCATCAATAAGCATCTTATTCCAGAGTTTTAAAAGTTAATTTTGCAACCAATGCGGTCATCTTGTGAGCTTCAGGAATTTGATGGAGTGTGCACAGTCTCTCAAAGGTGAGAAAATATTCAGCAATCTCACTGGATTCCTCATACTGTGGACATAGTCACTCCCATTTGTGGATTGTTGGGGAAGGATAGTTAGTGTTATTCAGTATATTCTGCTGAGCCTTTGCCTTCTCCATCTCCAGTGGATGCTTCCTCTCTTTCCTTCTCCTCCATCTCTTTCCTTTTCCTCCATAGCTCTCCTGTGGTAACCTCCTGGGCTTTTTCTGCCTCTTTCGCTGCCTCCATAGCTCTCTGGTGGGAAGCCTCCTGGGCTTCCTTATCAAGTCGTTTTAATTCGACCAGTCTCTGGTGTTCCTTTTCTTTCTCTTTTGCTTTCAGTTTGGTTAACTCCAGTTTGTGTTGTGCCTTGCTTTCTGTCATCGTGGCCTCTCTGTTTTTAACTAACTTTACACCCGAGAGTTAGAAAGAAAAACAAAACAAAAAACTGGCTTGTCAAATTTTGCTGTGCTGTAACGTGATACCTTTCCCCCTCCCACCGCCGATAGCTGTTCTCAGCCTAAAGAAAAATTATTTTGTTATGCCTGCTGCTCTCTCCCCCAGGAAGAAACACAAAATCTACAGCTGCAATCACCTTTTAGAAAACCTTTTAAAATCCTGCTGTGCTTCTGGTTCAAAATGATCCCACCGCTCTGCCACCATGTCAAGGTTCCTTCCCCACTCTGAACTCTAGGATACAAATGTGGGGACCTGCATGAAAGACCCCCTGAGCTTATTCTGACCAGCTTAGGTTAAAACTTCCCCAAGGTACAAACTTTGCCTTGTCCGTGAACTCTATGCTGCCACCACCAAGCGTCTTACACAAAGATCAGTGAAAGAGCCCACTTGGAGAGGTCTTCCCCCAAAATATCCCCCCAAGCCCTACACCCACTTTCCTGGGGAAGGCTTGATGAGAATCCTCACCAAGTGGTACAGGTGAACACAGACCCAAACCCTTGGATCTAAAGAACAATGAAAAAATCAATCAGGTTCTTAAAAGAAGAATTTTAATTAAAGAAAAGGTAAAAGAATCACCTCTGTAAAATCAGGATGGTAAATACCTTACAGGATAATCAGATTCAAAATATAGAGAATCCCTCTAGGCAAAACTTTAAGTTACAAAAAGACACAAAAACAGGAATCTACATTCCCTCCAGCACAGCTTATTTTACCAGCCATTAAACAAAAGGCAATTAATGCATTTCTAGCTAGATTACTTACTAACTTTACAGGAGATGTAAGGCTGCATTCCTGATCTGTTCCTTGCAAAAGCATCACACAGACAGACCCTTTGTTCCACCCCACCCTCCAGATTTGAAAATATCTTGTCCCCTCATTGGTCATTTTGGTCAGGTGCCAGCGAGGTTATCTTAGCTTCTTAACCCTTTAGAGGTGAAAGGGGTTTGCCTCTGGCCAGGAGGGATTTTATAGCACTGTATACAGAAAGGAAACACTGGAAAGCGTTACCTAGGGAGGTGGTAGAATCTCCTTCCTTAGAAGTTTTTAAGGTCAGGCTTGACAAAGCCCTGACTGGGATGATTTAATTGGGGATTGGTCCTGCTTTGAGCAGGGGGTTGGACTAGATGACCTCCTGAGGTCCCTTCCAACGCTGTTATTCTATGATTCCCTTTATAGTTATGACAAATGCTTTTGTAGTTCAGGCTAAAGGATGGAAAATCCCCCCTTACAGCCTCAGCAATGACAATTTTCACCAGGGCGGCGGCATCCCAACAGCTCTGAGGTGACATCTGCTGCTCAGAAGCATGGGTCATAAACATGCAAGAGGGGCTGGTTTAGGGCCTCATTCCTGGCCCATTAAGCAATGGCTGGTGCTGACAGAGGTGGACGTTACAGGTCTGATCAGAGATCTGCAGCAAGAGGGGAAAAATATATATCTAACTAATGAAATAAAGGGGGAGATGACAGTAATGAAGATAAATTAGGAGCTAGGAAATGTAGAAAACTGATAAGGGAAGCAAAGGACACCAGGAGACCTCTATGGCTAGCAGAGATGTCAATAATAATGCAGCAATGGCAGAAGTGTTCAATATTTCTGTTCCGTACTTAAGGAAAAAACATGACGTAGCCATAGCATATGATGAAACATTTTCCATTCTAACTATAACTTCAGAGACATTTTTAAAATCAGCAGGTCCATATAACTGGAAACCAAGAGTTTTAAAAGAGCTGGCTGAGAAACTCACGGGACCATTAATGGTGATTGTCAACAACTCTTGAATACTGGGGAAGTTCCAGAATTGTGGAGGAAAGCTAATGTTGTACCAATGTTTGAAAAGGGTAAATGGGATGACCTGGGTAAGTAAAGCCCCCTAGACCAACGTTACATGTACTAAAAACCATCTAAGTGCTCGGTCTCAGACCATAGCTGAGAACAGGAAACCAGCCTGGAGCAAGGGGGCAGGGACTAGTGCGGTCCTGCTGATGGAGTTGTTTCTTGGCCAGGGGCTGTTTCACTTTTTCATCAGTGAGCTGGAAGAAAACATACAAAGATCATGGATGACCCAAGTGCTGGGGGCTGGTAAATAACAAAGTGGACAGGCCCTGACACAGAGCAACCTGAATCAGCAGGGAAGCTGGGTGCAAGCCAGCGAGATGCATTTATCCCAGCTAGGGACCCAGCACATGGGCCATGCTCCCAGGCTGGGGGCTCTCCTGGGACATGGCGACCCTGGAGAAGATGTGGGGGCTGTGGTGATATGAGCTCCCCGTGCAATGCCGCCTTGGGCTGCACAAACCGGGGGCTCTCCTGTAGCAGCAGGGAGGTTATTTTACCTCGGTGCTGGCGCAGAGGCTGCTGGGTCCTGGCTCCGGTTCTGGTACCTGCAGCTCCACGAGGCCGGGGATCTGTTGGAGAGGCTCCGAGAAGAGTTGCGGAGGAACTGAAGGGTCAGAAAAAGGGCCCTGGAGGGGGCCGTTCCGGCTGCTCCATTGGTTGCAGGGGAGGCGACTTGATCGCTGTCTGCAGGTACCTGCCTGGGAAGCAAATATTGATAAAGGGCCAAGTGACTCCGTGACACCAGGTCTCCCATGGGAACTGATGTGGGACGAATTCAGCCAGGAAACGTGGCCCACGTTTCGACAGAGACGGTGGCTAACCCCAGGAGCGAGTTCCCAATACCGTGGAGGGTTCCTCATCCCTGACCGGCTGGCCGTTTTCCTGAGAGTCTGGCTCGCGTCCGACCAGGAGCTTGTTGGGGCAGGTCCCCGGCCTGCGCCGCACGGCTCACGCTGGGGGGTCACGCTGCTCCCTGCTGGCATTAGGAGCTATGGAATGGGATGGGGCAGCAGCCAGGGGTCCTGAGGGGCTGGGCTTACAGCCTCTCCCCGTTAGGCCCCAGGCTGTGTGTTACAGCAGCCCAGGAGATCAGGGTCCTAGCCTGCCTCACCCAGCCCCACTTTGGGGGGCGCTGAGATGCGAGGGGGGCACCAAGCCGATCTGGGGCATAACTCTGGGACTCTCCCCCTCTTCTGCCTGCCTCTCAGCTGAACTCTGTCCCAAGTTTCCATCAACCTGGCAGAGACAAACCTCAGGGCCGCTTCCTGAAAACCCCAATGTGCAGCTCCCTGGGGATGGGGTGGGGCGGACAGCACCAGCGCCTGGCAATCCCTGAATGCACACAACAAACACCATCCGGCAACGGCCCGTGGGACATTTCTCAGGGCCAGGAGCTCTCGGCTGCCCCACTTTGCATGCAGAGGCACCCAGAACATTTTGGGCTAGGTTCACAAGGTGCCTGAGATGCACAAGTCCAGAATTTAGGCCACTCTGGGGTGAACAACCATCCCCCCCACAGCCCTGTAGTGTAACCATTTACATGAAATGCATTCCTGGTCAGACGTTGTGACAACCCACATTCAGGGTTCAACTCCCTGTCCTCCATTCAAGTCACTAACATTCCCCTAGCGCAACCGAACGCGAAGCAGCTCATGTTTCCTGCTCACCTTTTCTCAGACATCTCCCCGCTGCCCTGGCCGGAGTCCCAGCTCAGCACCGGGAACCAAATTCGAGTGAAGAGTTGAACCAGCTTTCCACAGCGTTTGCCTCCTGCAAAGACAACGTTTTCTTCGGCTCCATCTATTTGGCTCATTCAGTTCAGTGACGGGCTTAGCCAAAGAGAACCCATGGACGGAAAGCTGTAAAAAAAGCAGGAAAACTGGCTTCCCTCTTCCGATCTGTGAATAAAACGAGGTGTGAAAAGATGAAGTCTACTACTTCTAAAATCACCAAGGGCCTGGTGACCAGATGCAGCCGGCTCTATTCACTAACCAACCATTCTGCCTGTGTTGAAGAAATTGGTTAGTTTTAAGGGAAACAGCCTTTAAACTGAGAAACTTTGTTCTTTATCTACCCAGCTGGTTGAGGATAGTTTTAGCGAACAACCACCACATTTAAATGCTGTTTCTGTGCATTTCTCACTGAGCTCAATTTCCAGCCACACGGAGCTGGATACAATCCCAAGGAGGAATCATTGGGTAGGAAACAAGAAAAGCATTGCTCAGCATTTTCTAACACCAGAAAAAGCACTGGGAGAAACCCATCGAACTGTATCATTGCCCAGAGCCAGCGTTTTGTCCAGCTGGCACAATGGCGTACCAAACTCAGGGTAAGGGCTGCGGGGGGGATACCAGCCCGATGAAACGTTCGTTCAGAAAGTGACCAAGCAGGACCTGGGAGACACCAGAGGAAAATCAATGATTTAAATTAAGGTTTCCTGGTTGCCCATGAACATTGGCAATTTTACAGATTCCTAGAGCCCAAGGACAGACAGGACCAGTGTGATCGTCTTGTCAGCCGGAGAACACCCCCACAATTCCCAGAGAAACCTCCAGTCTAGATTTCTGCCCTGCCGGTGACGGCTCCCCGGCTAATCACTTGCACCATTAACAATCTGCCCCATAGTTCCCATCCCACCTATTGCACTCGCCCAACCAAGATGGGGTCCGGTCTGGCCTGTAATATGGCCAATATTGTGCAGTAGTGGAGGCCAGTATTACAGGGTGATGGCAGCCAGAACCCAGGCTCCATTACGGGAGGCCCCATTACCACATGCTCATTATTAGCAGGGTTACGGTAGCTGAACTCGGTGTGTGTGTGTGTGGGGCGGGGTTCCCATTGAGCTGGGCACTGCACAGACCCACAGGGACAGACCCCCCACACACATCCAGAGCAGCTCCTAGTCCAGGGGTTGGCAAACTTTTTGGCCTGAGGGCCACATCTGGGTATGGAAATTGTATGGTCAGCCATGAATGCTCAGGAAATTGGGTTGGGGGTGAGGGCGCCAGTTGGGGGTGTGAGCTTTGGGGTGGGGCCAGAAATGAGGAGTTCAGGGTGCAGGAGGGGGCTCTGGGCTGGGGCAGGGGGGGGAGGAAGAGGGCTCCGGCTGGAGGTGCATCCTCTGGGGTGGGGCTGGGGTTAAGGGATTTGGGGTGTAGCACAGTGCTCCAGGCTGGGACCAAGGGGTTTGGAGGGCAGGAGGGGGATCAGAGCTGGGGCAGGGGGTTGGGTCATGGGGGGGCGGCTCTGGTTGGGGGTGCAGGCTCTGGGGTGGGGCCAGAAATGAGGAGTTCAGGGTGCAGGAGGGGGCTCTGGGCTGGGAGTTGGGGTGCAGGAGGGGGGCAGGGGTTCAGGCTGTGGGCGGCACTTACTTCAAGCAGCTCCTGGAAGGAGCAGCTCTCCGGCTCCTATGCAGAGGCGCAGCCAGGCAGCTCTGTGCGCTGCCCCGTCCGCAGGCGCCACCCCTGCAGCTCCCATTTTCCACAGTTCCCGGTCAGTGAGAGATGCGGGGGTGGCACTTGGGGCTGGTGGCAGCTCACGGAGCACCCTGGCTGCCCCTAAACCTAGGAGGCAGATAGGGGACATGCTGCGGCTTCCGGGAGCCCCGGCACGTGCGTGCGGAGCGGCCTCCGACCCCGTTACCTGGCTGGAGCACAGGAGCAGGGCAAGCCCCAGACCCTGCTCCCCAGCAGGAGCTCGAGGGACGGATTAAACCAGCTGGAGGGCCGGATGTGGCCTGCGGGCCGAAGTTTGCCCACCCCTGACCTAATCTGTCCAGGCTTGGGCGGGGGTGGACGACTGAGGGACAGAGAGGGGTTCGGGGCACCGCTGGGAGAGAACCCAGGAGTCCTGGCTCTCAGCACCCCCTGCTCTAACCCACCAGACCCCACTCCCTTCCCAAAGCCGGGGGAAAACACAGGAGTCCGGGCTCCAGCCGGGCGTGGGGCTGGGACACAATCTCTGCACCCGGCCGCACTGGCGGCCCTCAGACACCAGGTGGCAACAGCATCCCTCTCACAGCGCAGCCAGGCCCGACACCCCCGCCCAGCCAGGCTCACCCCAAGGCTGAGCCAGGCGGGGAAGGGGACAGGGCGGGGCCCGGACTCCTGGGTTCCCTGATCCTTCCAGGGTATTTTCCCTTGATGAGAATGTTGCAAAAACACCTTAAAAGGGTGGGGGGAAATGTACTTGGTGCTTCCAGAACGAGCGAGCCCCCCCCCGGGCACGCCCAGGGCACGCTCGGCCCCCCCGGGCACGCTCGTGCCACCTTTGCACAAGCACCCTGCCTTTCCACATCACCCCCAGCACACTCAGGGCATGCTCTCCCTGCCTTTGCACCCTCACACTCTTTGGCCACAGTCAGTGCACGCTCACCCTGCCGTGACACACCCACCGTGTCTTGTACCTGCACTCACAGGTGCACCGTCACCACCCCGCTGGTCACACCCCTGTGCGCTTGCACGCTTGCCCCTCCCTTGCCCAGGCTCACGGCTGGCCCGAGCCCTTGGCACGCGCCCGGCCTGGCTCTGGGGCCGCATCTGGTTCCTATCAGCAGCTCCAGGGTTTTACATTTCAGCTGTTTTCATGGCAGGCGGGATGGTGAATCGCAGTGCCAGCCCCCCCGCCAGGGCCCACAACTCCCGCCCGGCCGCAAACATCCCCCCACAGCCCCAGGCCAGCCCCTCTCCTTGCAACTGGGCCTGGGACCCCAGTCCAACCCCCCCACCCCCGCCAGGGCCCATGATTCCCTCTCAGCCGCAAACACCCCCCCACAGCCCCAGGGCCCAAGGCCAGCCCCCCTCCTCCCAAGCGGGCCTGGGACACCAGGCCAGCCCTCCCCCACACACACACCAGGCCCCAGACACCAGCCCAGCGCCCCAACCACTGCCCCCCCCCCCCAGTGAGTCACAGGCCATGAATGAGCAAAATGTTTTTTATAGCAAAAGACCGAAACTGCCGGTAAGAGACCAGCTGGGGGGGGGGCAGGGCTGGGGGGACAGGCAGAGATGGGGACTGTCCCCTGATTGGCACCCCATTTCCCCCCTAAAACTACCCCCAGTGCCTGGCTCCCCCCACATCCCATCCATCCCTAAGTTCCCCCCCATTTGCCTCCCTACATTGATTGATCCCCCCAAGAGCCTCCCTATCTCCAGAGTGATAAGACACCCCCCCCCACAATTTACAGACCCTTCTTTGCCTGGCTCCCCGAATACCTCCCAGCATCTCCCCACTAAGCCCAGAGCCCCCTATCCCCATCCTCTCCCCCCTGCCCCACCGCTGGCTGCCCCATCCCTTCCCCCTGCAGTGACCAGAGTCCCCCCATCCCCCCAGCTCCATCCTCTCTCTTCTTCTCCCCAGTGCCCAGAGTCCCCCATTCCCCCCCAGCTCTGTCCTTTCCCCCCACCACACTGCCAGCTGCCCCATCCCTTCCCCCCCTCCATGGCCAGAGGCCCCCATTCCTCCCCAGCTCTGTCCTCTCCTCCCAGACCCACCGCTGGCTGCCCCGTCCCTTCCCCCTCCCCGTGCCCATGGGGCGTTGCCATGGCGTCCATCCTCTGTCTCCTTGCTCCGTCACCATGGAAACGCGCCTGGGTGCAGTGGTGGCAGCATGTGCTGATCCCCCCCCTTCCCCACCCTGAAATGGGGGGGCCTTCAGGGAGGGGGAGGAACAAGGGGGAGAGTGGATCAGTGCGGGTGGGGGGCGGGAGCTCCTTAGGTGGGACCCCTGGGCTCGGATCTCCCCAGAAGGGGGCACCAGGTGGGCTAGCAGGGGGCTGCGGGTCAGGAGTGAGGGGCACTGACAGAGCTGGGGGGGGCAGTGCTGGGCTAGCAGGGGCTGCGGGTCGGGAGTGAGGGGCACCGCCAGGGCTGGAGGGGGGGCAGGGCTAGGCTGGCAGGGGCTGCGGGTTGGGAGTGAGGGGCACCAACAGAGCTGGGGGGGAGCCCAGGGCCGGGCTGGCATGGGCTGCGGGTCGGGAGTGAGGGGCACCGGCAGGGCTGCGGGGGGGGCAGGGCTGGGCTGGCAGGTCGGGAGTGAGGGGCACCGCCAGGGCTGGGGGGAGCCCAGGGCTGGGCTAGCAGGGGCTGTGGGTCAGGAGTGAGGGGCACCCGCAGACTCATTCACTGACTCCCAGCCCACCCCATCTAAGCCACTCCCCTCACGGAGCTGGGGACAGAACCAGGAGTCCTGCCAGGCCCTGACCCACCTCCTCCACCACTTTTCTGCCCAGGTGTGTCTAGGAGGGGAAACCAGGGTCCCTCTCTCCGCCCATCAGGCTGCCAGTAGTTTCTATGGGGTTGTGCCCCATGGCAGTTGTGATAACATGCCCTGCACATAGTCAGTCTGCATGGGAGTCCCACGCTCAGGGGACAGGCAACGTGATGAGGCCTTGTAAACTCAGGGTGTGTATGAACTCTTTGCACACTCAAGGAGCAGTGTGTCCGGGTGTCTGAATCCCTTACACACCCAGGTGACAGGGTGTGCATGAAAAGGCCTTGCACATGTGTGTATAAGTCCCTTGCACACTTAGGGTGTGAGTCCCTCCCATGTTCAGCAGACACTACATGTGAAAATGCCTCACACCCTCAGTATGCAAGTGAAGGCCCCTTGCACACCTAAAGCACCTGGGGAGTGTGAATGCCTTGCACACCCAGTTAGTGGGGTGTGTGGAAACAACTCGCACACAGTCTGTGCAAGAGATCTCCTCGCACATTAGAGATGCAGGGTGCGAGAGAACAGGTCTTGCACACTCAGGGCACGGGCGACCCCCTTGCACACTCGCCCCCCTGTGGCTCCAGCCAGCGACCGCTGGGCTGCAATGAATGATCGGGCTGATCCATTCCTGCAGCGGGGGGAGGGCTCAGGGAATTGTAGGGGTGGGGGACTCGCCTGGCCGCCCCATCTCCCGAGGGCGGTCCTGCGGGGGAGCAGGTCAGGGCCGGATCAGGGGGTTGCAGGGCGGGGCCCTTCGAGGGGACTCCTCCATCCCCATCTCCTCATCCTGCCCCCCTCGCCCCGCAATGGTGCAGCCCGCGTTTAAAGGGCCCGGCCGGGCGGGGAGGGGGCAGAGCCGGAGCGGGGCGCGCGGCTGCAGCTGCAGGTAGAGCCGGGGCGGAGCCCCCCAGGACCGGTGCACGGGGGGGGGGCGGGGAGGGGGCTCGGTGCACGGGGGAGCCCCCCAGGACCGGTGCACGGGGGGGCGGGGAGGGGGCTCGGTGCACGGGGGAGCCCCCCAGGACCGGTGCACGGGGGGGGGGCGGGGAGGGGGCTCGGTGCACGGGGGAGCCCCCCAGGACCGGTGCACGGGGGGGGCGGGGAGGGGGCTCGGTGCACGGGGGAGCCCCCCAGGACCGGTGCACGGGGGGGGGCGGGGAGGGGGCTCGGTGCACGGGGGAGCCCCCAGGACCGGTGCACGGGGGGGGGGAGGGGGCTGGGTGCACGGGGGAGCCCCCAGGACCGGTGCACGGGGGGGGCGGGGAGGGGGCTCGGTGCACGGGGGAGCCCCCCAGGACCGGTGCACGGGGGGGGGCGGGGAGGGGGCTCGGTGCACGGGGGAGCCCCCAGGACCGGTGCACGGGGGGGGAGGGGAGGGGGCTCGGTGCACGGGGGGGGCCCCCAGGACCGGTGCACGGGGGGGGAGGGGAGGGGGCTCGGTGCACGGGGGGGGCCCCCAGGACCGGTGCACGGGGGGGGGGGCGGGGAGGGAGGATGCTGGTTGTGTGGGGCCCAGTTCATTGGGGGAAGACCTCTCCCCAGATCAGTTCTTTGGAGCAGGGGGCTCAGGGCATGAAAGGGGCTCTGCATTGGGAAGAGGGCCAGGATT